GCCCTGCACTGTGAGCTTTTGAGACAGAATGAACATTAGGTCAGGTAACTGGAAAAAGTAACAGAAAGGAAGACTACAACAAATCTCTTGCACTCCTTGCCAGTGCTGCTGCAGTGACTGCCCATCTCCTGGAGCTACAACTGATCTCCAGATGACAGAGGCCAGGTCTCCGGAGGAAATGGAAGCTTCAAAGGCAGACCGTATGATGGCATCACATCCCTACTTAGCTCCCTCTCCTCAAACTTGCCCTCCCAGACACCACCCACAGATCTCCAGGACTTCCCTAAGTCAGAGTTGGCAACCTGAGCAGGGACAGATCAGAGAACAACATTCTCTGGGGCCTTGGTTACCCTCGAGGCTCATTAAGCCAGGCAAATCACACAATTTGTTTTCATGTGAAGTTATTTAGGCCAACTCCTGTGAGGCAAGGTGCCCTAGAGGGAATTTTGTTGTGGTGTTGACAGAGGTTTGCAGTGAGGCTGTCTGCACCCCACAGCTGCTCCTCATCATACCCTTCAACTTTCTTTAATCCTGCCCCTCTCCTCCAATACATCAGAATTATTTGGAGGGAGGGAAGGTAAACTGACCAACTCCTTTCCCACTTCCAGTGATTTTAAGGCACCTACAGATAATAGGACCCAGGATGGATTCAAGGATGTTGCTGACCCAATGGATTCATTCATCTCTCTACAAACTTCTGTTTCGTGACCAGGAAGCTTCAGTAAACCCTGCCTGGTTAGAAGCAGTTTTTTGCAAGACTGAGCTGAAAATATACATCTGATGAAGTGAATTCTCACTCAAGAAAGCTGGAATAAATTTTGTTAGGTTTGGAAGTGCCAAAAACAGGGATGAAGCAATATACACACAAACAATTTTCGTTTGCACATCTCGCTTTTTCCCAGCAACAAACCACGTCCCAGTGCTATAACCCAAAAAGAAGGTAAGCACTTTTAAAATTACTGTAATACTTAGGAAACATAGAACTTTGAAAAGACCTAAAGGGTCATCTAGTCCAACCCCATGCACAATGCAGGAAATTCACAACAATCCTTCTCTACTTCTTCAGTGACTCCTGCTCTATGCCCAGAGGAAAGCAAAAAACCTGCAGGACCCCTGGCCAATCTGGCCTAGAAGAAAATTCCCTGGAAGAAAATTCCCTCCTGACCTCAAAATGGCAATTGACATGTAAGAAAGGGCCAGAGGGGTCAAGCACTAATTCATCCCTTCCTGCCTTCTCTCCCGTGATCTGCTTAAGTCCACAGAATCTACATTGCCGTCAGATGACCATCTAGCTTCTGCTTAAAAACCTCCAAAGAAGGACAGCCCACCACCTCCTACTTGTAAACAAATGTAAACACACACACTCTTTATGACAACACACCTGGCAACAGAACCATAGCCTTCCTTTTGGGTAAATACAGGAATATAGAGATTAAGCATTTGAACTATGAACTACAAGACCCTTGTTCATACCTCTGTGGCAGCCTCACAGAGGAATAAGGCAAGCAAGCCAATGCCTTTCAAATCCATCCTCCCAATCTGTAAAATGGGAGAATACTGAGCAACCTCTAAAATGCTTGAATTAAAATGATTATAGTCACATACTCAAAGCATCTTAGTTGGGAACAACATAATATCAAATGCTGTTATTTCATTCCAAGCGCATAATTTGGATGGAGTCTTGGATCCCTTTGCCTCAAAGACAGCAACAACCTGCTTCAAAACCAGTTAGCTCATCTTATAGCAAT